TGTCCCGCGCGCTGTATGTTCTCGCCGGCAAGAAATACACGCAGGACACTCGGATCCTTCTGCAGAAAAGCTTTAATGCATCTTGAGAGGGGAGAGCATAAGCTTACCAGAGCGGAGACCCTGAACCAAGAATCCCATTCCTTAATAAAGGCTGGCAAGCAGCCGCCTGGGACGTGTTACCCTATGAATGGCTTCAGCTCCTCAGGCCAAATGAGCCACGGGATAGGCAGAGATCAAAGGAATGGAAATTACCCAGTGCCTGTGAAGTAATTTACATTTTGGTGTCTGCAGGCACCATTATTGTAATAGAGAATGCAGGAACGGCTCCCTACACCTGGGTTGTAAAGAGCAGGGTGAGTCTTCAAACACAGGTAGGGGCTCTTGGCTGATCTCCTCCATGTGGAGCTCATGTCCAGGCCCAAGGACTGTGTAAGGAGTAGCAACAAGGAGGGGAACAAGAGGAGGAAGTGCCAGGAAAGGATTGAGAGGAGAGGCCATCTCAGGAGAGGACTGAGGGGAAAGGACCCCCAGGATAGGTGCAAGGGAAAAGCCACCATGGGGTGGGGTGAAAGGGTGGCGGGTGGGGGAGGCATCCCAGGAGTCATTCAAGGGGAGAGGTCATCCTAGGAGAGGAGAATGGGAGAAACCACCCTTGGAGGGGGGTGGGGCCACCAAAGGAAACTTACCAACACTCAGAAGCTGTACCCTGGAAGTGGTTGCACAGGTGGAACAGTAGGCCTTATGAGGGCACTTCAGCGTTAGGACAGGACAAGTGTTCAGTTGCTTCATGGGATCCCAAGGGCTGGGTCTGGCTGGGAGCTCCTCATGGAACTGATATACACTGTGTGGATTAAAGAGATGGTCTTGAGGGCTGGGTGGTGGTGGTGCATGACTTTAAGTCCTGGACTTGGAAGGCAGAGGCAGACAGATCTCTGTATGTTCAAGGCTAGCCTGGTCTACAGAGTGAGTTCCAGGACAGCTAAGGGTATTACACAGAGAAACTCTGTCTTGAAAACAAACAAACAACAATAACAACAATAAAATAAAAGAAAGAAAAAAAAAGAGATGGTCTTGAGTTTTGAAGTTTTTGTTTGTTTGCTTGCTATCTTGTTTAATTTTGAGATAGGGTTTCTCTATGTAGCCCCTGGCTGTCCTGGAACTCAGAGAGAGATCTGCCTGCCTCTGCTGTGATGAAGGGCATTTACCACTATATCTGACTGAGTTGGTGATATACACAGAAAGGATTAGATTCTCTCTCTCTCTCTCTCTCTCTCTCTCTCTCTCTCTTTCTTTTTGAGAGAGAGTCTCAAGTAGTTCAGGCAAGCTTCAAACTTGCTGTGTAGTTGAGGATGCCCTTGATTTTCTTATCCTCCTGCCTCCATCATGCCCAGTTACTATGGCATGCAGGATTGACCCCAGGGCTGCATACATGCTAGGCAAACACTCTCATCAACTGAGAACACCCCAGCCTCTTGGATTTAATTTTTAAAACACTGGTGCTAATGCACAAAGAAGAGTTTTTTTTTTTAAGATTTTATTTATTTATTATGTATACAACATTCTGCTTCCATGTATATCTGCACACCAGAAGAGGGCACCAGATCTCATAATGGATGGTTGTGAGCCACCATGTGGTTGCTGGGAATTGAACTCAGGACCTCTGGAAGAGCAGTCAGTGCTCTTAACCTCTGAGCCATCTCTCTAGCCCCAAAGAAGAGTTTTGATTTCCAAGAAATTCCTCCTTTTTTTCTCCCTTTAAAGGAAATAAGAGCTAGTGTATTCTGGAGCCATTTTGAGTTATCATGGCCCAGGAATAAAGATTTAGGTTACTGCACATTCATATTATAATGTGGAAGCTTCATGAAGTTTTTTTTATAGTTTTACAGAACAAAAAAACAAAAATCGTAGATCAAGGTAAATTTAAAGTACATTGGTGGGTACATCAGACAGGCAGTTACAGCAAGATGGGGAAAGCTTTTCTATGATCTTGAATACAACCCACTAGGTCACCCCACCCAACTCTCATTACAGCCCTGACTCACAAATGCTTCAATCTAGTGGTAAGGATTCAGCCAGCCCCTCATTGCAGAATAGTCCGAATCCTCATATTAGTACCAATGCCAACACATAGGGACACACAAATATTACTGCTTATTAAGAATTAATAGGTTTGGACTGGAGAGATGGCCCAGTAGTTAAGCACACTGGCTGCTCTTGCAGACCTGGGTTCAATTCCCAGCATCCACGTTGTGGCTCAAAACTGTCTGTAACTCCCCTGTCAGGGGATCTGACTCCCTCTTCCAGTTTCTGAGGACAGGAGGCACACACATGGTATACAGACATATATGCAGGAAAAACATACATGCATAAAAATAAATCTAAAAATCAAACAAACAACAAACGTGAATCGTTAGGTTATTTGGGAAGTTTGGTTTGAGCTGTCTGCTGAAGTTGGTGGGTTACAAGTGTTTCCTGTGCAGCTAATCTCTGTTGAATGGTACACCAATTTTTCATAGTATGATTAGAAATAACTAATTTCTTTGGGCTGGTAAGATGGTTCAGTCAATAGAGTGCATGAGAACCTGAGCTCAATCCCCAGAATCCACATGAGAAAAGTTGGGCATAAGCACATGACTTTTATCCCAACACTCAATGAAGCAGAGGCAGGTGAATTTCTTTGAGTATAAGACCAACTGGGACTACAGAGTGAGTTCCATCACAACCAGGGCTACACAGTGAGACCCTGTTTAGAGAAAAACAAAAAACAAAGCAAAACAAATAACACAAAAAGAGTACATATGGCAAAATGGGTTTGTAATCCTAGTGCTGGAAGGTAGAGACAGGAAGATTTCTGGGACTCTCTGGCCAACCAATCTAACCTAATCAATGATCCACAGGTTCCAGTGAGAGACCATCTTGACAAACAAGGGCTGGAGAGAAGGAGCAGTGGTTAAGAGCACTGGCTGCTCTTCCAGAGGATCAGGGTTCAATTTCCAGCACCCATGAAGCAGCTCACAACTATGTGTAACTCAATCCCAGCAAAGCCAACACTCTTTTCTGGTGTCCCAAAGTGTCAGGCACACATGTGACACATATATACACACAGGCAAAACACCCATACACATAAAAGTAAAATAATTTAACAACAAACCAGATGAGTGAACTCCTCAGAAATAACACCCAAGATTGACCCTTGGCCTACCCACCCCTCATGCATATATACACACACACATGTGTGCAATGCAGACACATACAAACACAAAATTCATCTTCGTTCTGGAGGCGGGGTCTCACTATATAGTCCTGGTTGACCTGGAACTCGCTGTGTAGGCCAGACTGGCCTGAAACTTAAAGAGGTTCACTTGCCTCTGCCTCCTGAGAGCTGGGATTATAGGTGAGCACCACCACACCAGGCTGATATTTGACTCTTAAGGAGAAGCACAGTGAATGGCCAGCTGTGAAGAGCTGGCTTTTGCAGGAGTCCGACCTGCCCATCCATTTTCCCACCGAAGGACCCCAGCTGACATTCTGCCGCTTGGGTTCAAACATCTTCAGTGCAGCTGTAGGTAGGCACTGTGAAGGGCTGTGCAGCTGCAGAGCAGCCCCATCCTGGAGGAGGTGCCACACTCTGTTCAAGTGAGGTGCCTTTGCTGTCTCGGTGGCAGATCTGAAACTCATGGCTGGGGTATGTAACTTCTGTGGATTCCTGTGTCATCCTGTGTCTCCTTGTCTCCTGCAGGGCTTTTCATTTTTCATAAACATGATAAACTCCTTCATCAGTCCATCGTCTGAATCCATCACTGCTAGTGAGTCCTCCTATACCAACCAGATCCTTTACTCTCAAGAAGTCAATGAGAAAATTGGTCAGGCGGTGAAAGAGGGGAACCTGTGGAATGTGATCTGTGTGGTCAGAAATATAATAATACAGAATAAGTCTAGAAACCCAGTAAGAATTGCTGTGACTGGAGACTCGGGAAGTGGCATGTCATCCTTCATCAATGCTCTTAGGTTCATTGGACATGAGGAGGAGGATTCAGCTCCCACTGGGGTGGTGAGGACCACCCAGGAACCAGCCTCTTAGTTCTCTTGTGAGTTTCCCAATATGGAGCTGTGGGACCTGCCTGGCACAGGGGTCACATCCCAGAGCATGGAGAACTACCTGCATGAGATGGGGTTCGACAATTACGACCTTATCATCATCATCGCTTCTGAGCAGTTCAGTTCGAATCATGTGAAGCTGGCCAAAGCCATGCAGAGGATGAGAAGGAGGTTCTATGTCGTCTGGACAAAGCTGGACAGGGACCTCAGCTCAAGTCCCCTCTCAGAACCCCAGCTACTGCAGAGCATCCAAAAGAATATTTGGGAGAACCTCCAGAAGGAGGGGATGAAGGAGCCCCCCATATTCCTGGTATCCAACTTTGAGCCTTCATCACACGACTTCCCAAAGCTTAGAGACACACTGAAAAAAGACATCTCCAACATCAGGTACACAGATTCCTTAGAGACCCTTTCTGGCATCTGTGACAAGAGCATCGACTACAAGGCCTTCTCTCTGAAGGAAGCTATGCAAACAGAACACCTGCCCATGACTGTGAGCCGCATGTGTGGTACTGCTGACCTCCAGGAGAGTTTTAAAACCCACCAGGAGTCCTTTGGTGTGGATGATGGGTCACTTTGGCAGTTGGCTCAAAGGACAGGGACACTGGAGATGGGCTACAGGGCCATGCAGTTTCAGGACTTGCACAAGATGAGTTGGAGGCTGAAATTCTTGATGTGTTTTCCCGTGGGCATGTTCCTCAACTTTCTTGCACACCGGTGCTGGTTTGGCTTGTGGAACTTTGTCATCCGTAAATGCAGACACAAGAGACAGAGGCTCATCATTGAAGTAGTTGCTCAGGACACCAAGACCTTCTTGAGGAGAGTCCTGAAGGAAAATACCTTCCCTACTGAAGTCCTTTGAGGAGGGTCTGGCTTACCCTCAAGTGAAATTCAGGCTGCCTCAGGGTCTTCTTTTTCCTTAAGGTCCTAGCCATCCGCTAGAAATCAAGAACTATAGCAGCTCGTTGAAAGAAGACTTAGAATTGTTGGTGAAGTTAAGAAATCGCTCATCTTCCCACACTCAACTGTAATACCCTGTTCCTTCAAAGAACAAGTATCTGCCAAGATAATCAGCCATGTTTTCCCAGCCCAGCACATAGCTTTGATGCTTTCAGTTTTCATTTCATGAGTGTTTAAATCAAATGGTCCCCCCCACTAAACCATTAAAGTTGCCTTCATTAATACTGTTTTATTCTTATCTTTATCTTTCCCTAGATACCCCTGGTGGTGCCTCAACTGGCACAGGATGGCACTTACAAATTTGAAGGGTGGAGAGGGTGATAGAAACGGTCCCTTAAAATGTACTGTGTGGGGGCTGGAGAGATGGCTCAGAGGTTAAGAGCACTGACTGCTCTTCCAGGGGTCCTGAGTTCAATTCCCAGCAACCACATGGTAACTCACAACCATCTGTAATGAGATCTGGTGCCCTCTTCTGGTATGCAGATATACATGGAAGCAGAATGTTGTATACATAATAAATAAACATTAAAAAAAATGTACTGTGTGTGCACGTGTGAGTGCATGTGTGTGGTTGCATGCATACCACAGCCTGTGGAGTTTGTTTTCTCCCACAGCTTCTAGGTTCTGGAGATTGAAGTCAAGTCGTCAGGCTTGGTGGCAAGCACCTTTACCCGCTGAGCCATATTGATGGCCTGCTGAAGATGTCTTTGTGTGTGGCTAAACATGTGATCAGTGTTCAAGGAGATCACCAGGGGTGTTGATCCTGTTCCAGCACAGGAAAGAGTGGCTTCCTCAAGGCCCAGACATCAAAGTCTTCATATGTATGTTTTCTTGTGCTACAACAAAGTACTTGAGTTTAGGCAATATAAAAGGAAACAAGGTTTATTATCTCATAGTTCAGGAGCCTGGTAGTTCCCAGTGGGTGACCTATCAAGTTGGCCTCTGGTGAGGCCATCACAATGGCAGGGGCTCATGTGGAAGAGACCAGAGCATAAAAGATCCAGGGGCCAGGCTCCTTTTTATCTTTCAAAGGGCCATTCTTTAGGAA